CCTACGTTGACGAGGTTCCCCCGCCTGGGGCGAACATCGTCAGTGGCATGTGGATTTTCAGGGTGAAGCGGCCGCCGGGTTCTCCGTCTGTCTTCAAGGCGCGTTACGTGGCTCGTGGCTTCAGTCAGCGGCAGGGAGTTGACTACTTTCAGACCTTCTCTCCCACCCCGAAGATGACCACTCTTCGGGTACTGCTGCACATAGCTGCTCACCGTGACTACGAGCTACACTCTCTTGACTTCAGCACTGCTTTCTTGCAGGGCAGCCTGCACGAGGAGACCTGGCTGCGCCGCCCACTTGGCTTCACTGGGACTTTTCCTCCTGGCACCCAGTGGAGCCTCCGGCGGCCAGTCTACGGTCTCCGCCAGGCACCGCGTGAGTGGCACGACACACTGAGGACTACGCTTGCGCCTCTTGGGTTTCCTCCCTCTACTGCCGACCCGTCGCTGTTTCTGCGCACCGACACTTCTTTGCCGCCGTTCTACATCCTCGTGTACGTCGACGACTTGGTCTTTGCCACAGCTGACACTGCTGGACTCGCCCACGTGAAGTCCGAGCTGCAGAAGAGACACACGTGCACAGACCTGGGTGAACTGCGCAGCTACCTTGGCTTGCAGATCACCCGGGACAGAGCACGCCACACCATTACCCTGACTCAGTCACACATGGTGCAGCAGGTCCTTCAGCGCTTCGGCTTCACGTACTCCTCGCCTCAGGCCACTCCTCTGCCTACTCGCCACTCGCTCTCAGCTCTGCCTTCGGATGAGTCCGTAGAGTCGAGTGGCCCGTACCCAGAGCTTGTTGGCTGCCTCATGTACCTGATGACCTGCACTCGACCTGACCTTGCATACCCTCTTAGCATTCTCGCACGCTATGTTGCTCCTGGGAGACACAGACCGGAGCACATGGCTGCAGCGAAGAGGGTGTTGCGCTACTTGTGCAGTACGTCGGGCATGGGGCTTGTGCTTGGAGGGCAGAGTCCAGTGGTCCTCACTGGGCACGCAGACGCTTCTTGGGCTGACGACCAGGCTACGCAGCGGTCGTCACAGGGTTACACCTTCAGCCTTGGTTCCGGCTCTGTCTCGTGGCGGGCTACCCGCTCGTCTTCTGTTCTCGGCTCCAGTTGTGAGGCTGAGATCTACGCAGGGGCCATGGCTGCACAGGAGCTTCGCTGGCTCACCTACCTGCTGACTGACCTCGGAGAGCCGCCTCGTTCTCCTCCAGTGCTGTACGTAGACAACAAGGCCATGCTGGCCTTGTGTCGGGAGCAGAGACTGGAGCACAGAACGAAGCACATTGCTCTTCGCTACTTCCTTGCTCGTGAGCTACAGCAGCGTGGTCAGCTACGCCTTTCGTACGGGGCCTCTCAGGCCAACACTGCTGATATCTTCACCAAGGCACTTGCGCCTTGTGATCATCAGCGCTTCTGTACTCAGTTGAGTCTTGTGCCTACCTTGCCTCACTTGCTCACCCCTTGACCTTGTTTGTACTGTTACATATATATATACACCTGCTCTTGCTTGTTTAGCCTTATATATATATGTAATCCTGCATGTGAACTGGCCTTGTGGCCTTGAACTTGTGCTCAGAATGTGTGGTGACGTTGTGATCCACCCTGAGCTTGCTTTGCTTTGCTTGACTGGTCTTGTGACCCCTTGTCCTCCCCCACTTTGCCTATGGGGGTGTGTCAGATTTATATGACTTAGCTGCTGTAGGCTATAGTGGGGTAGCACATATGGGGTACAGCTTTCTAGGGTTTGTACTTGTACCCAACTTTCCCTTAGTCTTTTCATTCCTCGTTCATTTTCACATGACCGACTTGGGAGAGCAGCCTCGTTCGCCTCCAGTTCTGTACGTAGACAACAAGGCCATGATTGCCTTGTGTCAGGAGCACAGACTGGAGCACAGAACGAAGCACATCGCTCTGCGATACTTCCTTGCTCGAGAGTTGCAGCAGCGTGGCCAGCTTCGTCTTGCGTACGTGGCCACTCGGGCCAACACTGCTGATCTCTTCACCAAGGCACTTCCGCCTGGTGATCATCAGCGTTTTGTTACTGTGTTATGCCTTGTACCTACTCTGCCTCACTTGCTTACTGCTTGACTCTACTTGTACTGTTACCTATATATATACCTGCATGCTTACACTTGCTAGGGTATGATCACTGTATTGTTTGTTCTTTTTATATAACTCTGCATGGGAACTGGCCTTGTGGCCCTTTGCTTGTGCTCGAACTGTGTGGTGACTTTGTGATCCACCCTCAGCTTGCTTTGCTTTTCTTGACTGGTCTTGTGACCACTTGTTCTCCCCCACTTTGCCTATGGGGGTGTGTCAGAACATTATAGCTTATACATTTGTGTAGGCTGTAGTGGGGTAGCCCATAAGGGGTACAACCCAATTAGGGTTAGTACTTGTACCGAACTGTTTGCTAGTTCATTCATTCTCATTCGTTATTTTCACAGCAAGCGGGCGACGCGCGTGCTGCAGGGGCGGTGCACGGGCCGTTAGGGGCGGCGCGACCGTGACTAAGGGCGACGCGACGGTAGGGGCGACGCGACGGGCCTCTAGGGCAGGGCAATGCGTGGGGCAGCTCTGTGGTGGGCCCTAAAAAAACGGTCATAACGAAGGACCTGCTCTGAAACCATTTAAGAAGGATGAACGGGAATGAATGAACTATGAAAGAGTTGGGTACAAGTACTAACCCTAATTGGGTTATACCTCTTATGGGCTACCCCACTATATCCTACACAAAGTATGCAATAAAACATTTTGACAGGTGTGTGCCGCAAAGTGTGGGCGGATTTGGATTCGAAATTTTAAGTGTGGATCAGCGCAAGTATTGCAGTCTTTTTTTTTTTTTCCACGGCCAGACCAGGGAGCTTTCGATAAAGCAGTTTTGGGTGCTTACAGTACAAGGGGCAACCAAAAATAAATATAAAAAAAAACACTTGGATGTGCAGGACTTGGACTTATCGATATTGTGGGCCAGTTGATCTAGGATGAAATGTTCATTATCCGGGCGTTAAACCATGCAAGTGCACGTGTGCTATCCTCGCCCTCATGAGGACTGGTATAGCACCAGCAACGCATCATATTTTCCCGGGAAGCAGGGTTCGATGTGACTTCCGGGCGCATTGTGGGTTCAGCGTTCTTTTGCGCCAAAAGGCCATCTCCGTACAGCACAACACTGGTTAGGTTCGGGATGGAGTTCAGAGTTCCGAGCCTGTTTAAAGGAATACGCCCTTGTTGCAGAAGCCTAGCAGCCCTAACATGGAAGCCTTTACAAAGCATCGACTGGTGCTATGCGTCGGAGGCCGCAAAGCCAGTGCGGCAACAAAACAGGGCACTTGAGTGGGAATCACTTTCATTGTGAGTCCAGTTTGCCTGGAAAATGAATTCCCTGTAGTTTCAACGCCTGCACCCTGAATTCATTTTTTTTTTTTTTTTTTTTTCGGTAGCAAACTCGTACTGGGCATGCTTGGTGGTTCAGCATTGAGTTAGCGGGCTTAAAGCTCGAGTCTAGAATGGTAAGCTGGGGTTTTTTTTTTTTTTTTTTTTTTTTTTTCACTTCTCGGATTTTCAGAGTTGTTTTTTTTTGGAACTCTGAAATTCAGGGTTGAACATGAGCGTTACTCTGATTTGTCAGAGAAAACTTAACTTGTGAAAAATAGAACTCTAGACAGTTAGTGTACCAAATTTTCCAACTCAGAAATATTCCCTCAAGTATTGAACCCACACCTTTCGCGCTCCTACAAAAGCTATTACGGTTGTGTTATGTGCTCACTCACTACCGTTTTTATCTACATATACGTAACATGTAGATAACTAATTCTGTATGCCATTTCCCCTCGGTCGAAATTTCTGTACCCTGTACAGAGAAAAATGCATTCGCCAGAAATTTACAATGGTCTATCAGGGTACCTAAAATCAAAACCCTGGCAAATCAGAGAAAACTGAACTTCCAAAAAAATACCCAGAAACGTCAGAGTGACCCCCCAGAAACCACTCTGATTTTCAGAGAAACAGAATAATTTACTCTGATAAAAAAACCCCTGATGGTAAGGGTTCAACTTCAAGATTCTTGAACTTGAGTTCGTCAAGAACAGGGTAACCAGGTTGAGAAAGCTTCTCCCTCGCGATCCACCGAGAAGGGAGTTGGTGGGCCAGAAGGTGATTGGCCAAATGCTCCACAGCAAAAACAGCGACGAGCCTCGCCAGAAACAAACAAGAACAAGTATCACTATTCACACTTTCAGAACTTGAAACTCGAGAATACCTTTCTAGACTCGTAGCATAGTGTGCTCCATAGCTCTAGTTCTCGTCGTTAGCCGAGTATAGTTACGCCCATCTCCGTACTATGCTAAGACTTTAGTAGCACATAGAGACGGCCCTTCCCGTCGACTTTTCCGCGCATAACAAGTGCGATCTGGTAGCCAACAGCAAATACAGAATGCCGCCTCGATTGATCGCCATCGTAAGAATCACTCGTCGCCACTGACGGTTATATCGCGTTAGCCGACACTCGCATATCCAATAGCGAAATCGGCTATGACACCTCGACAGTCACTCCCGTCCCACACTCGATCCCTTCCCGCACTCAATCCTGTCATTCACAGACTGCTGTCGCTCTCCCGCTTCCGTCATCCACACTCGCCGGAGGCACATGTCACTCTCTCAATCCCGTCACTCACTCAATCCCGTCACTCACTCACACCCGTCGCTGACACACTCCCGTCGCTCACTAACTCCCATCGCTCACTCAATCCCGTCACTCACTCACACCCGTCGCTCACACACTCCCGTCGCTCACTAACTCCCATCGCTCACTCAATCCCGTCGCTCACACACTCACTCACGTTCCGCCGTCACTCCCGTCGCGCCTTCACTCCCGTCGCGCCTTCACTGCCGTCGCGCTCTCACTCCCGTCGCGCTCTCACTCCCGTCATCCTCACACGTCGAAGGCACATATCACCCACACGCGCCATACACGACTCAATCACACATGTCCCTCTCACCTCCCTCCTCCAGTCCCTCTCTTCTCCTCTCCTCCCTTGCCTCTTCCCTTCCCTACGCGGTGCTCCCCCTTCCCTACGCGCTGCTCCCCCTTCCCTACGTGATGCTCCCCCTTCCCTACGCGCTGCTCCCCCTTCCCTACGCGCTGCTCCCCCTTCCCTACCGCTGCTCCCCCTTCCCTACGCGCTGCTCCCCTTTCCCTACGCGCTGTTCCCCCTTCCCTACGCGCTGCTCCCCCTTCCCTACGCGTCACACACGACTTGCCCACACATGTTCCCATCTCCCCTCTCCTCCCTTCCCTTTTCTTTCCTCTCTTCCCTTACCTCTCTGTCCACCTCCTTCCCTTCCCTGTCTTCGCCTCCCCTCCCACTCATCCCCTCTCCTTCCTTTCCCTCTCGCCTTCTCTCCTTCCTTCCCTCTGTCCACTGCCCGAGGAGTAGGGAGGGGGACTGAGGAGACCTTTCTTCCCTCCCGCCTCACTCGCTCCCCTTGCTCACTTAATTCCATTACTTGCTATTGCACGTCACCTTCACGCACGCCTTTGTCACAAAGACACTCACTCACTCACTTCCTTCTGTTACCAACATCACTCTTGTTACCATGCCTGTCACTTGCTTCCCTCACCGCTTCTCTCCTCCCTTCCCTCTCTCACTCCCCCTCCATCCTCCAGTCCCTCCCGTCCTTCCCGTCGTGCACGTCCCTCCTGTCCCTCCCGTCCCTCCCGTCGCCCAACACCTTCCGCCCCGCCCCTCGCTTCAGTCCCGCATTCGCTCCTGTCGTTCTCTTCCCTCCCGTCCCTCCTTTCCCTCTCTGGTTCTCGTCATCCGTCCCTCATTCACATCGCTCACTCGATCCGTCGCGCACTCCCCCTTCACTCGAACGAACACACCGTCCACACAGGGCAACCGCCTTGCATCGGGCCTGTCGCTCACACACTTACATGTGACATTCACTCCCGTTCCGCACACTCACTCCCCTCCTCTCCTCTCCCTTTCCCCGTGTCCTTCCCTCCGTCTCCCCCCTTGTTCCTCTCTCTCTTTCCCTGTGTCCGTTTCCCACCTTCCCCCTCCCTCCCTTTCCTCCATTCCTAACTGCTCCTACCCTCCCCTCCTTCTCATCACTCGTTTTTCCCCGTTCTTCTGATCTCTGCCCTTATTCCCACACCCCACCCCTCCCCGTCACCCACACACGTCGCATGCACATATTACTTACACCTTCCCTCCTCCCACTTCCCCTCCTCCCACCTTCCTTTGCTCATATCCTCCCTTCCCTCTGTCCCGCGCACCTCTCTTCCGCCATCTCGCTGCCCTTCTCTCACTGAACCCTCTCCTCCTTTTTCTCCCCCACTCTTTGCTTTCTTCTCATTTCATCTCTCTTCGCTTCCCTGTCCTCTACTCCCTTCCCTTCACGTCTCTTTCCATCCCACTCCTCTCTTCCCTCTACCCTTTCCTTCTCGCTGCCCGTATCCGCTCGCTTGTTCTGACTCCAGGGTCTTCTCAAGTTGAGCCCGACTTACGCCTCACAAAATGGATGTGCAGCACCACCACTCTCCTTCCGCAGTTGTGAACAGGAAGAGCGATTATGGGCACGAGATGGATTACATATATTTTTTACTAGGGGAATAACTGACTTGACACTGTCTCATCTGCTTGGTTTATGTCCCCTTTGTTGGGCTGAGAAAAGCCCTTAGGATCTTTTCAGGACTTGAGATTGGGTGTTGATGTAGAGTTGTAACAGCGGATGTGTAAGGAACAGTTGACGTGAACCACCTTGTGCTAGTTTGTGAGAACAAGACAAGTTGATAATAGTAGAGAAGTACAAGCCTTTTATATGATTACAAAGGAATATGAAAAGTTCTATCTTAACTGTTTTTGCTGTTGCGGTTCGATACAGTGCCGACTCGGGTAACTGCTCTGTAACGAGTCAGTTATGTGTCCTTGCTGTCGCACTGTACGTTTCGTCAGGTCAAAGGTTGGAGACCTTTGACCTTCGCGTAACCTCCGACAGTTGACTCGGGTGCTTCTTCGCTGTAGTCAGCTCCGTTTTGTGTCGAAGCTTCGATACGACAGAAGCGCTATAAATCACTTGTTTCCAACACTCCCCTTCGCTTCTGGAGGATCGTTGCTGATGACGTGTCCTTGTCCAGTCAGCAGCATGCAGTACTCGAACTTCTGTTTTCCGAGTTTCTTGGTCAAGTAGTCAGCTGCCATCTCGGATGTGGGGCAGTAGGATAGTTCGAGTCTTCCCTTTTCGATCTCGTCTTTCACGAAGAAGTACCGAAGGGCGATGTGCTTCGTTCGATTCGCAAACCCGTTTTTGTTCGCAATGCGAATGGCCGATTGGTTGTCGCAGAAGAGAGAGAAATTGGGTAACTGGGCCAATTTTGCTTCCTCCAATAGTTCGCGAAGATATAACCCTTCCTTGGTTGCTGAGCAGAGTGCGATATATTCTGCTTCTGCTGACGAGAGAGCAATTAGCTCTTGCTTGTTCGACTGCCAGGAGATAGGCCCGATAGGTTCGAGTCTGTAGACGTAGCCGGTTCGAGACCGTCTGTTGTCTGAATCTCCAGCGTGATCGGCGTCGACGTAGCCGATTAGTTTAGGAGCCGCGGTGCTGGTTTTGTGCTAGGTGAGTCCGATTGTCGGAGTACTGACGAGGTAGTGAAGTGCTCGGTCGAGTTCGAGCATGTGATCTGCTTCGGGCTTCTTGAGGTAGGTAGCGAGTTGGCTAGCTGAGTAGGATAGATCCGGTCGGCAAGTGACGGCTGCGAAGAGTAGGCAGCCTAGCTTCCTTTGGTAGTTGCGGACGCCAGCAGGTTTGAGTAGGGCGGAGGCCTTCCGATTTCCGTCGGTGTAGCGGTATGGCGTGGAGATGGTGGTTGGGGTGAGTCCGAAGCGTTTAGCAATAGTGTCCGAGTATTTTGCAGCGCTGAGGTAGATGGCATTGTCGCCGTCTTCGATGTTCAGTCCTAGGTACTGTGTCACGGTGGTTGCGACGGTGAGAGTTAGATCCCCCTGCAGCTCCCCTTCAAACCACGTTGTTACCGCGTCGGTAGAACCTATGTAGAGAAGATCATCGACATAGACGATGAGTAGGATGTAGTCGGTGCCTTTCGCCAGTCGATACATCCCTTGGTCGTGTGGTAGCTGGAGAAATCCGATGCGAATGAGGCGGGCGTGAAGGTGCTGCTGCCATAATCTCGGGGCTTGCTTAATCTCGTACAGTGACTTCTCCAGTTGACAAATTTGGTTGGGGCTTGCGTTGGATCCGTGTGGGAGTTCGACGAAAATCTCAGCGTCGACGGGGGCGTAGAGGAAGGCGTTGGCGACATCAATTTGTCGAAGCTTCTTTCGGTTCATGGCGGCGATTGCGAGAAGGATCCGTAGTGAGGTATGTCGGCTTACTGGGGCGAATGTCTCCGTGAAATCTCGCCCTTGCTCTTGGTCGAAGCCCCGCACGACCCAGCGTGCTTTGAACTTGTCGATTGTTCTGTCAGCTTTTGTTTTCACGCGGAAAACCCATTTTCCCGTGAGGACAGTTTTGTTACGTGCCACTTCGATAGGCACGACTTTCCAGGTGTTGCGTTCCTGCAGCGCCTTCAGCTCTTTATCCATGGCTTCACGCCATTTTTCCCTATGTTCCCCCCCCAGAGCCTGCTGAAGTGTCGCAGGCTCCTTAGGTGGTTTCGCTCCGTGGACGGCGGTGACAAGTCCCAGTATCTGCAGGCCACTCTGTGTGTAGTGGAGTAGATTTGTGTCCTCTGGATAAACTGCTTCATCTCCAGCTTCGGGGTCTGATAAGAATTTGGTCCTATGCGTTCGGAGATGTTGGTGTCGACCGGTTGAGGTGTAATGTAACCGGTGTCGGCGAAGTCGAAATAGGTTTCGGCATTGACACTTTCGCGAGGATTTTCGTCGTCCATCGGGATAGGCATGGAGCAGTATGGGAGTGGTCCTGCTTCTTCGGATGCGTTGTCCACGTTTTGCTCGTCCCAGTCAGCTTCGTCTGCTGCTGAAGCAAAGGCTCGGTTGCCACGGAAGCTGCCCGTGAGGTCTCGATTTGCTGCCAGGTTGTCCAGGTACGTTTGAAGTGTGAGTCGCTCGTAGAAGATGACATCACGTGCTGCCACTGTTTCTTTCGAGTGGACGTCAAAGATCTTCCATGCGTTGTAATGCTTTTCGATGCCCAGGTGTAGTCCCCACTGTGCGCGTTGAGAAAATCTTCCGGCTCTTGCAGTGTGTGGGCGATACTGTACAATGCACCCGAAGACTCGTAACATTTTTGTGTTGCCCAACTTTCCTGTCCACAGCAGGTGCGGTGATGCGTTGTTCGGAAGTGACGACGACGAAAGCAAGTTGTGCAGCATAACAACTGTGAATTAAGAAAACAGGAATGAGAATGACTAAGTGAAAGTTGGGTACAAATACAAACCCTAGAAAACTGTACCCCATATGTGCTACCCCACTATAGCCTACAGTAGCTCTGTCATATAAATCTGACACACCCCCATAGGCAAAGTGGGGGAGAACAAGGGGTCACAAGACCAGTCAAGCAAAGCAAAGCAAGCTCAGGGTGGATCACAAGGTCACCACACATTCCGAGCACACGTTCAAGGCCACAAGGCCAGTTCACATGCAGGATTACATATATATATAAGGCTAGACAAGCAAGAGCACGTGTATATATATATGCAACAGTACAAACAAGGTCAAGGGGTGAGCAAGTGAGGCAAGGTAGGCACAAGGCCCAGCTGAGTACAGAAACGCTGATGATCACAAGGCGCAAGTGCCTTGGTGAAGATATCAGCAGTGTTGGCCTGAGAGGCCACGTACGCAAGTCGCAGCTGACCACGCTGCTGTAGCTCACGAGCAAGGAAGTAGCGGAGAGCAATGTGCTTCGTTCTGTGCTCCAGTCTCTGCTCTCGACACAAGGCCAGCATGGCCTTGTTGTCTACGTACAGCACTGGAGGAGAACGAGGCGGCTCTCCGAGGTCAGTCAGCAGGTAGGTGAGCCAGCGAAGCTCCTGTGCAGCCATGGCTCCAGCGTAGATCTCAGCCTCACAACTGGAGCCGAGAACAGAAGACGAGCGGGTAGCCCGCCACGAAACAGAACCGGAACCAAGGCTGAAGGTGTAACCCTGTGACGACCGCTGCGTAGCCTGGTCGTCAGCCCAAGAAGCGTCTGCGTGCCCAGTGAGGACCACTGGACTCTGCCCTCCAAGCACAAGCCCCATGCCCGACGTACTGCACAAGTAGTGCAACACCCTCTTCGCTGCAGCCATGTGCTCCGGTCTGTGTCTCCCAGGAGCAACATAGCGTGCGAGAATGCTAAGAGGGTATGCAAGGTCAGGTCGTGTGCAGGTCATCAGGTACATGAGGCAGCCAACAAGCTCTGGGTACGGGCCACTCGACTCTACGGAATCATCCGAAGGCAGAGCTGAGAGCGAGTGGCGAGTAGGCAGAGGAGTGGCCTGAGGCGAGGAGTACGTGAAGCCGAAGCGCTGAAGGACCTGCTGCACCATGTGTGACTGAGTCAGGGTAATGGTGCGGCGTGCTCTGTCCCGGGTGATCTGCAAGCCAAGGTAGCTGCGCAGTTCACCCAGGTCTGTGCACGTGTGTCTCTTCTGCAGCTCGGACTTCACGTGGGCGAGTCCAGCAGTGTCAGCTGTGGCAAAGACCAAGTCGTCGACGTACACGAGGATGTAGAACGGCGGCAAAGAAGTGTCGGTGCGCAGAAACAGCGACGGGTCGGCAGTAGAGGGAGCAAACCCAAGAGCCGCAAGTGTAGTCCTCAGTGTATCGTGCCACTCACGCGGTGCCTGGCGGAGACCGTAGACTGGCCGCCGGAGGCTCCACTGGGTGCCAGGAGGAAAAGACCCAGTGAAGCCAGGTGGGCGACGCAGCCAGATCTCCTCGTGCAGGCTACCCTGCAAGAAAGCAGTGCTGAAGTCAAGAGAGTGCAGCTCGTAGTCGCGGTGAGCAGCTACGTGCAGCAGTACCCGAAGAGTGGTCATCTTCGGGGTGGGAGAGAAGGTCTGAAAGTAGTCAACTCCCTGCCGCTGACTAAAGCCACGAGCCACGTAACGCGCCTTGAAGACAGGCGGAGAACCCGACGGCCGCTTCACCCTGAAAATCCACATGCCA